ATTGTATTATGTCGTCAGAAAACTCTTAGGTCCTATTTTCTCTGAGAAGTGTTTTGAAAAAACTAGAGCTGATATTAATATTCATGTTTTCTAAAATAATACCTCTTAATAGGTGCATCTAAGGCATCTTTATTTTTTAAGCTTTAATATACAAAAATGACATGCACTATAAAGTTCTAGAAGAGACTAATCTATGATGAAAATAATCAGAAAAGTTGTTGTCTCTGAAAGATGCAGCAGGGACTGGCTGAGAAAGGGCATGAGGCTACTTATACAGTTAAGGTAAAGTTCTCTATTTTAACAGGAATTTGTACTATCCCAGTATATGTATTTATCTAAACTCATTAAATAGTCTCAAAAGTTTTGTCCATTTCACTGAATGCAAATTTTACCTTTTTACATCTTCGTTTTGTATTTCTTTCACAGCTGTTTTAAGCCTTTCCTTCAGTTCCTTCATTAAATTTCTGACAATTCTATCCTTCCTTAGATGTCTCGTAATTTCAAAGATCAAGGTGTCTTCTTCCCTATTTGAATCAGCTATTGTTTGATCATCTATTTTTTTATTGTTTCAAAGCTCCCCGAGGGCCAATTTCTGTTCCAAGTTTTTGAATTTTTAATTCAAGGTGTCTTGTTTTCCTTCAATATTTGCAAATGTTAAGGATATTTAATTCACACTGAATTGTGTTAAGATTTCTTTTGCTCCAAAGATAGTGTTTGCGGGGATGGGGCAGAATTTTCATCAGCTGAACTCTTGTTTTCTTCTTATAGTAACTTTGTGTGAAAGCCATCTGTCATATGCTATTAACTTGGAAATGTAACTCTGCTGTACTAGTAACCCAATTAAATGTAACCAAAGTGAGAGTTTGAGGAGGCTAACTAGGTTTTTAAGTTAGAAAAAATTCTCTTTTTGTGAGATGGTTACTATTTCTTTAACAAATGTTTTGATGGGACAGGGCTTGCTGCATCCTCTGAATCTGTGACTCTTTGTTTTTACAGGAACTTTAATTGCCCTTTCTTTTTTCTTCATTTACCAGCAAGTCTCCATGGGTACACCTCCCTGATACTTGCAGTTTACTCAGCAGTGGTGCCATTGGATTCTGCTCATTTTCAAGTCAGGGTAACAGTGCTCCATTCTGAAAGGTCTCAAGCTGAGTGCAACTGGCTTTTGAGTGACTTTATCTGTATCCCAACATCCCCAGGCTCCTTACCTCCAGCCCTCATGCATGTCTCCTCTGCCCTCACTCCCCCTGTGCTAAGTCTTTCCTGGGCTATAGGCTCTACACATGATTTTGCTGGTCTGAATGCTTATTTTCCTACTTACATGTAACTTAAAATCTGTTTTTTAGTTTTTAGGGTTTCTAAACACAATTTTAGTGTACGTGTGTGTATGTATGTGTAGGCTTTCCTATACCAACGAGCAATTCTGGGATACCAGAAAGCTGAGAATTCAACTCAATTCTGATACCATCTACCTACAGGTAGCATCAGTTCCAGAGGTAAAGGGCTCAGACCCATAAGACCGCCCTCCACTTCAGATGCTAATTGCAAGCCCAGGTTGTTAGATGTGCTTCTGACCCACTGGCTATAATTTGAAGGCTCCAATGACTCCCTCCAATATAGGGTGCTATTTGCCTGTCCAGGTTATTACCTTTACTTCTGACCAGCTGGCTGTACATCACAGGCTCTCATGAACGTCTCTTTGGTTTGACTAATGTGCTACAATGGCACACAGGACTCAGGAAACACGTTTACTCACTAGATTATTGTTCTGGTTCCCCAGCCTGGAAACTCTCTGACCCCGTCCTTTTTGTTTTTCTTTAAAGGCTCCATTGCATAGATATGATTCATTGTCTCCTTGGCCATTGGTAGTTGATGCCACCTCTATCCCTTCTCCCCTCCCCAGAAATCAAGGGGTGGGAGTGAAAGTTCCAACCTTCTATTAAAGGTTGGTTCCCCTGACAACCAGCCCCCATCCTTTGGTGCTTTCTAAAATGTCACTGTCATGAACACAAATCCAGTTCTGGTAGAAAGGGGCTTGTTATGAGTCACGAGACACCCATTTCACCTTCATGACTCTAAAGTCTTTTCATTAACTCTGAGAAAAGCAGACCAAATATTATGCTGCCCTTACTCTTATTGCTCAAAAAATTAGCAATGTTTTGGGAGCTGAGCTAGGAACTGTGGTGAAGAGCAAATATGCATGAGAAACGTATTTTGGTCATCTGAATGACTATATATATTTCTTCTAAATTACATCAGACTTAGTCACATTATAGGCATAGATTATGGGTGAATTTGCTTTCCCTACCAATCAGTAAGATTTGGGGGAGAACATGTGGGGAATTTTAGATTTAGGAGGAGTCTCAGTCCACTCAGGCTGCTATAACAGAGGACCACAGACTGGACGGCTTGTAAACAACAGAAATTTCTCAGTGTGGAGGCTGGAGAGTCCAAGATCAAGTCACTGGGCAGGTTTGGTGTCTGATGAGGAAGCTCTCAGGGATCCCTTTTATAAGGGTACTAATTCTTTAAAAAATTTTTTTAAACAGCTTTATTAAGATATAGTTCACATACCATCTATTTCACCCATTTAAAGTACACGATTCGGCAGTTTTAGTACATTCCCACATGTTGCCAACCATCACCATAGTCAGTTTTAGAACTTTTCCCATCACCACAAAAAGAAGCTCTGCACTGCTCACCGTCACCTTCCTGTCTTCCTCACCTTCCTCCAGCCTCAGGCAACCGGTAATCAGCTTTGTATTTCTATAGAATCCCCTGCTCTGAATATTTCATATAAATAGGATCCCATGTGATCATTTGTGACTGGATTCTATCACTTAGTCTAAATTTTGAACACTTATGGGGGCTGCAGTGTCATGATCTAATCACCTCCCACAAGCTCCATGGCAAATACCATCACATCAGGGGATTAGGCTTCCACATGAATTTCAGGAGAATACAAACATTCAGTACATAGCAGGAAATTTTCTCTTTTCTATGATTACTTGGAAATATGTAGAAATACCTTTCTAAAATTCAGACTTTTTCAGACAATCCATACTAAATACGGTAATGGCAAAGATTGCAAGCCAAGGTCTTGCTGTAAAGTCATCCTACTGTGTGCACCAGGGTATATTTTTGGTATTGTAATTGAGTGATGTCTCCAAAAGTTAGACTGTTGGAGAAAAGGATTCATTTGAGAATTTCAGATTGTCTTGCTCTTTAGTTGCAATAAAATGATACCTAGATTGGTTGCAATTCTGCTACACTGGATGTATGAGTATATAACACACTTCATCAACTCCTGGTCGTGGAAAATTCATGGCTTCCCAAACACACACATATATGGAAGGAAAGAACTTCATGAGTAGTCCTGTAGCTTAAAACTATGCCCACTGAACCATCAGTAATTGCTACTTTTATGTCCAAAATATGAAATGTTGGTAATTTCATATGGTTCAACTTAATATCTACTCTGTCGGGGAAAAGTGTGATTGATTTTGGTAGTTCGCATGAGATTTCAGCACGAATAAAAATTTCATACTACACAGTTTATACATAGAATAGAATTGCATTGAACAAAGCTTTTAGAATGCAACATGGGGAATTTTGTTGATAATATTAATCTGAGCAGATCAAAGATGTAAGCCTGATAAATTAATATATTGATATTTAACTAATAGTTACTAGTCATCAAGAGAGAATTTCTTATATTGGTCCCTCATACATCTGGAAATGCTACTAAACCCAATTAGTATTCATCCTACCTCCACTTACCTAATTTGTTGAAAGTCTAATATTTATGAAGCATGGTACTAACTTATGGAATCCAGCAAAGAAAACATACAAAGCATATTCTAAAGGACATGGATCAAACTATAGAAATGATCCCTGAAAGTACCCCATCCCTCCCCCCTTCTCTCACCAGATATGTATGTGAAATTAATTGTGGCTTTATTTTTTTGAAATAAAAACTTCAATAAAGCAAATATATATAAAGTATATGGAACCCTATTAAAACCCTTAATAATTATTCAATATCAGTTACAGTGATACCTACCTTTTGTCAGGCTGGGAAAACTGGGAGAGGGCAGGAAAACTTAGTATGAGATAACTTTGTGTAGGAATGCTACTGAGAGTTGCACTATTTCCCGATGTTCAATGTGTAGCGAAGGTGACTGCACAAGGCATCCGGTGTGTTCTGGCCTGACCCTGTGCTCATCTGGAAGGGGCTGATTTTTCTATGATTTTTATAGGGTGCCCAGTAGGGAGGTGGGGTCCATCAAAACGAGAGATAAGGTGGAAATGCCTAGTAAGCAGCAACTCAAAACTGCAGCTCAAAAATCTACTTGAAAAGCCAAAAGCTATTTACCCCCATCATTCTGGCCCCTGTTCACACTTGAGAAGTGCTAAAAGAAGATCTTTCCTTACAGCCCCCAGTCAGGCTTTTGTGGGGTGCCCACATTTGTGGTTGTGGATACAGTTAATTTTAAGTTGGAAGAGTTGACACAGAATTCTGCAATTGAAGAATGAGAAATGTAGAGAAGTGAAGTAATCCTTTTTAAGGTCACGTGGAGTGCCCGAGTATTTTGATGAGGGGAGGCAAAGTTTTGCTGAATAAATAAACCTCAAACAATACAAGCTCCTTGCTCACTTTTAAACATCTGACCAAGGGCTGTGCTCGCCGGTGTCTCAGGGATCAAGGCTGATAAAGGTTATGGCCCTGCAGCAGGGGGAAGGGAACTTGGTGAATTACATAGTCTTTTAAAGCTTCCATGAAGGAAAACATTATTTCTGCTCACATTTTCGTTTGTCAAAGCAAAGGAAACAGAGTTCATTTCTGCCATGCATACAGACAGGAAACCGGCATGTTTTTGATAAGCTCTAATGTCTAATAAACCAGGTTAGAAAAAGGCCCAATTAGCTTGTACCCACATTCAAAGAGGAATTCAAGAAGTCTCTTTAAAATTAACTATAAATCATAATTATATACTCACTAAAAAAGTCTTCTCTTTATCAATGTAGACATATAGAAAGTGGCTATATTCCTTCTGGTCTGTTAGACTTCAATGGCTACGGAAAGAAAATATTTTATAATGGGTAAATTTTTTTAAAAAAGTGTTGATGTGGACAGAGTAAAAATCATGTAAAAGCTGTCATTACTTACCATAGAGAAAGTCTTCTATTGAAAAGAAACAAAAAATTAACATTGTTTCTCTTTTCTATAATCAGCTTATTGTTAAGTTCTAAAAACTGTGTTATGGTTTTAATTTACTGGATATACTAAAGTAAAGGCTTACTACATTTTGACATTTGAGTTTCTCTTTTCAGTACACCACACAGAACAGCTGCAGCAGACACTACCTTCTGCACACCCAGTAGCCACTTCCTCTCCCTTTCTATTAGAATCCTGGTTCGTTTCAGTGTTTGTTCTTCCCACACAATACTTGGGAGAAAATCTTAATTGTTCAACTCACTTCCTAGTGTTATATTTAACAATGGATATGTAACCGTTATTGGCAATACATGGTGAAGGAGTCTTCTGATGGTTTTCTAAAAAACCCTTCTTCATCTTTAAAAATAACTTGAAACAGGAATTCTTCTTGCTGGATATTGTCAGGTCTGAATGGGACACCTGGAACTGTAGCAGCTGATTTATGGCAAAGAAACAGCTTCTAATAACAGGCTGAATAAGGTAGTTCCTTAAATTCACTGAGCTGTCTTTTGTTATTTAATACAATGCATTCCCTAATTCTTTAAGCCAGTGCTTCTCAATGTTGGTCTGAAACCAGATCAACAGCTACTGTCAGAATGCAAATTTACATACACTTTCCTTTCATCAAGGAAGCTTGTCTACAAAAAATTATAGATGGACTAAGTGGTATGGTCAGTGACATAGTTGAGTTACATTTTGGCAGAAACTTCTAATCTAAATCTACAATATTGGATTATTTCAATATACATATGGTTCAGAACCCAACTCAGCAAATTAACCTGGGAAAATTCATTTGTATTCAGAAAACATTAAAACATACGGCGTTTTAGTGTATAGACTAGGTAGGAGCCAAGGGACTTGTTCTTCTTAGGTAATTTTATCATTCTTGGCTTCAATTCAATAATCCATTCAATAACTGTCCATTGACCGCTCACTAAATTATACATGCAGGATACATGAATAAATAAAAGCCTCTCCAGTTTTAGAATGATCACAAGCTGGTATAGGAGATATATAAGAAAGTCAGTACTTACAGTACATACTGATGTAATTATTTATAAAGCTGTTCCCTGGCTGGGGTTGACTTCTGTCTAGTGTTTGGGATAATGGGAGCAATCCGCAGGGAAAAGCTTGACAGAAAAGGTGGCACCTGTTATGAAGGTGGTACAAAACCCCTTGGAGCTGTGTGGCTAGGGTGACATGCTAAGGAGCTGGAATTTTACTGATGGTGACAGTTTATTACATGATGACTTCCATTTTAGCAGTGACTCCAGACATCTTGACATCAGCATGGTTGAAGTTAGAACTGCAGCTAGAGTAACTGAAAATACCAATCTACAACAGCAGTATAGCTTTGGGTTTAACTTGAACAATTTATACCATGTACGTCTTAGCTCATTTTTTTTCTTTAAACAACTATGTATACATATAATTACAAAATTAATATTCTACAGTATTAAAAAATTCAAGCCAACACAAAACATTTATTCTGGAGTCATGTGCTTATATGAAATTATGATGATTAGTTTTCTGTGTCAAATTGGCTGGGCCATGGTGTCTGGATAGCTGGTCAAACACTGCAGATATTTCGAGTGTTGTTTTTCATGATGTGAGCTTCATCCAATCAATTGAGGATCTTACTAGAAAAAAAGACCAACTTCCCTGGAGACAGAATTCTGTCAGTAGGTGCTTCAAACTACAACTGCAACTCTTCGGTATTACCCCATCCGATTTTGGGCTTGTCAAACCTCCACAATCACATAAGCTAATTCCTTAAAACTAAGTCTACGCACATCTAGTTGTTCCTCTGGAGAATCCTGGTACAGAGATTGAACACTTGTCGGGCCTCTTTCACTCAATATACTTATACAGTAAAAGCCAGCCTACTGAAGCCTTTTTATGGGGATGGGACAATCCACTACCCCTCCTCAGTATAAGCAAAGGTTTTTTTCATTCATGTAAATCAGGTTCTCAATTGTTTTATGACGAGAACATACTAATTCTTGGCCAGAACCACTGTCCGATATGCATGTTCCTCCCACTTGTTTATTCTGGGTACTGATTTCCCCCACATCCCAAAGACGTGCACAGTAACTGGCACATATAAATTGTGCCAGTAGGAGTGTGGATTTGTGGCCTGTGAGGGAATGTGGCCTTTGAATCCTAAACTGCCCAAAGAATCTCCTGCCCCCAACAATCCAGAACTAGAATGAGCAGGTAACAGAATCATCCCACGTGTTCCTCTTAACCTTTCTTAAATGTGTATCTAGTTCCCACTTAAATGTTTAATACTGTGATTTGGATCTTTGTAAGCTTAGTGAATTTTTTTGACATAGGAACTTAAACCTCGTTTACACCAATTAGCCTATAGTAAAACTGCTTTTTAAATTATTTCAAGTTGCAAGAGCTATTGGTAATAAGTGAGGATTTACTGTATAATCCTCAAAAAACTAACTTACGAAGATGAGTAAATCAGATGTCTATCTACATCTTACTATCCAACATGAACTTAACTTTTGACTTTTGATGTATTTTCAATCTGAAAAAACCATTCATTTAGGACTTGCCAGAAAGTAAAATGTTTTTTCACATAGCCTGTTGATTCTCAAAACACGAGGTATGTTCATCTCCATCTCCTCCAAAAAACTGATAGCTAAATTTGTAACATAAGGGCAAAGATTTGAACCAAGAATTCAGAATCTTTATGAAATCTACTCCTCTTGATTCTACTTTTCCAGCACTGTTAGACAGCACTGTTGTGTAGAAAAACTCACCCAACACAGGATGACATGACATAAACGGAGAAGCACAAACTGACACACAAGTGCAGGGAATGGCAGGACAGTTGTTTAAACTGCATCCATTATTTAAGGAGTTGCCAGGCGGTTACAGGAAAGTCTAAAATAGGCCCTCTCAAATACTGAGAGAAAAATTTAAGGTACTAGCAAATCCACGGCTAATGCTATATGGCCACATCAGAAATCCAACGTTACGCTCAGGACTAAGGGAGGCAGCTGCTTTGTTTCATGAAGGGATGTGTAGAACCACCCAGAACAATTTTTCAAAATTAAGAAATATAGATTTTTATGTGAAAACAATGTGAATATTCTAGTTTTAGATACTGGTTTAAAACCAGCACAGCGAATCCCCACCTCCACCACCCCAACACCAAATTCCAAGGGGCAAACAGACCACCAGTTTATACCTCTGCTTTACAGTCTTCTTGTAACACCAGTGATATTCCAAAAGTGACCAAATTGAGATTAAAATATTCAGTAGCTTATTAGTTTCTCCTTGTCCTAATACAAAGCCCTAGGAATTAAGTCACTACACTTTAAGTGGCAAGTAGCATTTCACTATTCATGTGACTTGACCCATTGATACAATTACTAGTGAGGGCCATCTTTCTACACATTTCTAGTCAAGCTCCAGAATAACCTGGTAATTATTTCTTACATTCTATTTCACATGCCATTACATTCCATTTTAAATATTGTCCTTTTATTCACTCTAAACAAGATTCATTGGTCAGTGGCACATTTATTAAGACAAAAATTTCAGTTTTAGGGTATAGGTGTAGATGAAAAAAATGAAGTTTTTGTACTTTAATCAGTATACACTACTGGTTCTCCTCTTGCCATTTTTTTCAAAACAAAAAAAACTCATGGGGAAAAAAGCAATTTACTCCTTCCAAGAAAAGGGGAAAACTAAAAGTAACTTTTTTCTCCCCCTTTAAATAAAAGGGGAATTACTACAGACTTAAAGTCAAGTTGCATTTCTCTTTTATAACAGAAATACCAATGTTGTGATTAATAACTGGCAATTAATAATTAAATAAAATCTCAGAATTTAAGACCAAGTAACAAGCTAAATCACTAGGATAATACTCAAATAAAAAAGTACACACATGCCCAATTATCACCTTTTGTATTTCAGAGAAGAGGCATTAAGGATTCATGCCATAAGTTTATTTACAAATACATCTAGTATGTCAAGTTCAACAGTTTGATCCATTTTTCAAAGAGACTGCGCCTCTTAAAATGCTCCTCTTCAAACCTGCGGATAAAAAACACACAAAAATGTGGTATTGCAAACTCCCATTCATTTAACAGAAATCATGTAGTTTCATTAACGTATTGTCTACCCTTCAGTCTGGTACATCAGAAAGCGTTTACAGTATCACAATTTCATTCATACTGATTTGCTTCATCATATGCACCACAATCTTTCCATATTAACCACTTATATAAATAACTTCCTGTCTAAACTATGACAACTAAACTATTTTCCAAAATATACTTGGAATTTACTCCAATTATCCCACAGAAGTTTCCAACGGTGTCATTTTTATAATTAAATTATAATTTTACTTAATTAAGTTATAATTAAGTAAATAAATCTTTTCCTCTCACACAGGGAATCTAACCCCCCCCCCGAAACAACAAAAAGACTCCTCTGGGCATATACTAACATATATTGCTCTCAAGAGAGACTAGCAATCAGTTTGCTAGAACTTTCCTGATGAGTAGTATGAGGTCTGGCTGAAACTGGTCCACCATCACTAGGTGTGAAATACCGTGCAACTTGTTGTTTTTGCTTCTCATCAGGTTAATATCACCTACTTCACAAGCCTGCTAGGGAGCTACAGGAAATCATTATTGTAAAGTGAGCCTTACAAACAGTAGTACTAAATAAATCTTGGGTTTTAGGTAAAAAAAATACTTGTTTCTAAGTTTATTAACCTGCTTCCACCAATGTCACATATACACTTTCCTTCAGGAATCAACTCTACATGCAAAAACATTTTGTAACTTTGGGGGAGAGAAGGTCATTTTTTTTTTTTGAGGGGTGAAGAAAGGGAGAAATAAAAGGAAAGCACTGCTTTGGGAAGATTATAAATTCATTAATTAATTACCTGTTTTATGGATTAGCTAAAACATCCTTATTTTTTAAGCA